AGTATGAGGTGTTCAGTCTCAAGGTAAAGTGAATCACAAGGTTTCATCTGTTCGTGTGGTTCATTACTGAGATTCTCCAGTATGATGATGATGACAATTAGGGGAAAAAAATTAATTCCTTTTTCTGATTATTATGATTTTTTGAAACCAAATTTATACTATTGTACACCGACAACACATACACACAGACATACACACACACACACACACACACACACACACACACACACACGCATACACAAACTTACTGTTACTCTTAACTTTTGTTATGCAGAGGTTGCAAATTGAACATACAGACGCAACGACATCTTTCTCCCTCTCCTCCTGTCTTCCTCCCTCTCTTCCTCACCTCCAATCACCCTCTCTCACCTTCTGTCTCCCTCCCTTCCTCTCTCCTCCCATCTTCCTACCCCTCTTCTGTCTTCCTCTCTCTCCTCCAATCTTCCTCCCCCTCTCTCCCCTCTTCCTCCCCCCTCGGCACTGCACTCGACTACCTTCACTTCCCCAACTGTAAAGCCAGGTACCCATTCACAGCTGGGTGGACTTGGGGGTGTCTCGGAAGTGAACCAGAGACCAATAGGAGTAGAGCTGCCATTGAGTTAATTCGTGAGCCGCCACTGTTAACTCAGCAGCCAGTTTTGATTAATCAGTGTTAACTAGACAAACAACATTACCTTTCAACAACCACAGTTAACCTGACAACCAGTGTTAATTCTCAGGCGTCAATGTTAAACACCACAACAATGTTAAGGTGTTGAGGCGTCACAAAGTTAACAACTTCGTCAGTTAACCTCCTGAGCTGGCCGGGGTCGTTCACTACACCACCCACCACTGGCCCCGACCACACACTCCCTCCCTCCACTCAATTACGGGGTTTAGCTGTGGCAGGAAACTGAAGACTAATTTCACAAGTTTGTAAAAGTAGAATCAAAGCAATTCTATTTCCAGGAGACGCCATAGTCACACGACATAGATTTTCGGATGCTCATTTGACTGCAGACAAATAAAACACTAATAAATGCTGTGTTGTGGTATTTGATGTAAGAGAGGAGGTTCTGGTATCTGTTATTACTTTCTGGGTATTATTATGAAGAAGTTTGGGACGCTGGGAGCGGATATAGAGGGGTAAACTGTAGCCTAAGTCGTGGCCAGGAGCGGTAGGCAGGGGTCCGGACACAGGCCTTGTTGTGAGACCCAGGCTAGGCTAACGAGTCCGCCGGAAATTGAGCAAATGCAATAGTTGAGGACACTCCTCCCATTAGGATCACTCTAACTCAAGTAATGCGCGCGGCCTCGTCTCCCCCTGAGCAGAATGTGTTGAGGGGGAGCTTAGTTTTCAATCTATTTGGCGGGAGAAAGAGAGAGCGCTCGCTGATGAGGGCGGGAAGTCGGGGGCCAAGCATGACGCGCATCCTAATCCCTGCCTCAGATAACCTTCCCTCTCACCACATGTTTATTTACCGCTAAATTTTCTGTTCTCGTGACACCTTTCTACTGTTGGTGTATATTCAAGATACTTCATGTTAATAGTAGATCATCGTAGCTTCTCTAAGAATTAATTTATATTTTGTTTCGATCAGCTGGTGTGAGAGGCAGTACCACCAGACGACCAGAGCCATCCCGGATATAGCTTATTTCAGGAAAAATTCTCGTTACTGACAGATTGGCGGCGGTTATATGTTCTGATATTTCTGACAGTCAGTTTCTCTTTCCCATTTTCGAGTTACTTAATGTAGAAACGCGGAGGACAACTTACTGGGAGGGAAACTATTCCTTTGTTGTCAACATATAACACACAGATAACAGATACACAGTAGAATCGACGGCTATCATTGGCTGATTAGACCTTATGATAGAAAGAATACGTAATTTTGCCGCTATAAACGTAAAAACGAATCTTGAGAATATATTGTGTACAGGAAAATGTATATTACACATTTTTTGTATAAGAACGCAACTTGTTCGCTCCTATCAGTGGGTGAGTCTCGCTGGCCCGGGTACAAATAATTGATGATCCAGCTGCATATATGAATAATTATTCTTTGAGTTTAACATTAAAAATAATTAATTATAAAATTTTGATAAATGAGCACATAATCTTAATTCTATTTCATACTGATTGCAACAGAAATAACATGTATACGCCGGCAGAGGTATGCACTTGATGTAGATTTGTATAACAACAGGGGACCAGAGTCATGTAGGGGAGGCGGCGGCATGGTCGAACATCCCTAAATAAACATTGCTGAGTCGTGAATTTCTTTTCTTTGATTTTTAAGAATTTTAAGCGTTTTAGTACATTCTTTTATTCCATAACTCTAAAGAATATTTTTAGAACATATATTTATTATATTTTATAAAATGTTACTATTTTTATAGAAAGCGGGAGTTAAAGTTTGTTTAGTGGTATCCGAAATTCGGTTTATTTCTACTGTATAGCCTAGTGGGTCAGTCTTTACCTCATCAGCCCTAGAGAAATGAGAAACAATTTAGACTTCAACTTAGGTATATATATATATTCCTATCGTTAATTATAAAAGGTTAGGATATAATATGTGCTTTGGAATACGGAGAGAGCGGGTCTAGTTATTGTTGTGTTGGGGAGATTATAATTATATTTGGCAGTAATAATTGTAATTGTAGTAGTAGTAGTAATAGTAACAATAGTAGTACAGTAGTTGTACTTTTATTATTATTATTATTATTATTATTATTATTATTATTATTATTATTATTATTATTACTATTATTATTATTATTATTAGGTGATGTTAACGAGAAGCTACTAGCAGACACCACTACAAGTTTTCACCCTAAATCATTTGCTTAAAACGCATAATAATACATCGTAACATCTATATACATTTACCAAAATACTTCACGAAATCATGTATACTCTTTTATATAAAGAAAAAATATAAACTACTTCGGAAAGATGAAAGAATGCAAATGACACAATGAAAGTACAGATAAGTAAAATAAATTCCCCCCCAAAAAACACGAACGCTGAGTAGTGACGTCACAATAAAACACGAACGCTTTAATGACGTCACGGTTTACTTCATTGACAAGAAAACAAAGTAAAAAAAAAAACTTTGAGGATGACATTTAAAATTGTCCCAAAAGTCGAATCTTTCTCATAATTAAAACATTTCTTCTTAGTTATTCTTTCAAGGAATGTTTTATAAAGAAATTAATACAGTTTAACACTTACGGGGTCTTCCTGCTTCTGTCCGTCAACCAGTCGGATATTCTTTCCCGAACGCTGTGGATGTAAACACTGGGAATTAGCGTTCGTGTAGAGTAAAGCTGAGTGTGTGTGTGTGTGTGTGTGTGTGTGAGAGGGAGAGAGAGAGAGTTACAATACAGGTTAACAATAAAGTATCACACACACAGATACACACACACACACATACACGATAAAAACACAAGATACAAAAATCACATTACAAAACAAACAACACAACATATACATACACACACTCCCCTCCCCCCCCACACACAAACACACAAACAAACAAACAAAAGTGTGGACACCATAACACTTCACACTCGTGTATAATTGGCCGTTCATTACAGCACATTACTGAGCATTTACCGCCTACTGATTATATTATTGGTAATTATTCCTGACAATTATACGCAAAAAAACACAACACGGCCATTTATTATACATATTGTTGGCGCGATTTGGTTGAATAAAAAAAAAATATAATATTCTCCCTCTCCGACTCCAAATACATTTTCTGTATTGACAAAAATTACAAAAAAAATATATATATATTCCCTTTTCCTGTAGTTGTGATACCATATATACTTTCATGTGGTATTATAAAACTCAAAAAAAAAAATATATATATATATTAATAAACATGTCAGGGTATATATATATACTTTTAAATTAAATATAGATGACGGGCGTTTTAGCTGGTAGCCAACGACGTCAGCCCCCAAAACTGTTCGTATGTATACAAGTCATTCATTGAAGTGTATAAATGGGCGATTAACTTAACCACTGTGTAATGATGAATGTTAAGAGGACTTTAATGGTTAATATAACACTAACTCACTTTAAGAGGAGTTTTAATCGACTTAAGAATGAATTAAT